TTACATGGATACATATATTTGTCAAAACTCATTGAACTTGGGACCAGCACTTAGTGTAATGGCTGTATCGCTGGACTCCCATGTAGTCAACCATGGTTTGCGTCCCAGACCCAATGGCTTAAAACTCACTCTGGGCACGTGTGCATGCGTGCCCAAGATCCCAAGAGGAGAATGGAGGAGAAGGGATTGCAGCATGGCCATGCTCCCTGGGGGGTGATTTCTCGCTTTCTATCTCTCTGTCTTGCTCTGTCTGTCTGGCGAGCACACATGCCCTGTAGCAAAAACCTCTAAAACAAACAAACAAACAAACAAAAAACAAACAAACAAAAAACACCTCATTGAACTGTATACTTGAAATACTTATATTTTAATGTGACATATAATTCAACTTAAAAAGTGTTCTATGATGAATGTTCTGGAAGAGAAGTGGAAAATGTAAACAGATTACTACAAGATTGCTCAGTCTTTAATATACTAATTAGCACTGCATGTTTTTGTAGATTTTTCTTTTTTGAGAGTTTTTTTGCTACAGGGCATGTGCGCTCATTCGCCAGAAAGCCAGAGAGAGAGACAGAGAGACAGAAAGCGAGAAATCACCCCTAGCGGGGATGGCCATGCTGCAATCCCTTCTCCTCCATTCTCCTCTCAGGATCTTGGGCACAAACACACATGCCTGGTGTGAGTTCAAGTCACCGGGTCCAGAATTCCAACCGTGGTTGGCTACATGGGAGTCCAGCGACATCGCCATCACACCAACTGCTGGTCCCTAACACTGCATATTTCTAAGAAGAGGCTACAGGATGAAGTACCTTGCAGATTTAACTGCTTAAGGAACTTTTCTTTCTTCACATACATTAACATCTTTAAGACACTACAGAAACCCAATAACTTCCCCCTGGAAAAAATTCAAGGAAGGGCTATAAATACCACTACAGTCATTAGAATAAACTAGTTGTAGCATGCACTCTGTATAAGATTCAATTAAGTGGTGGAGGAATTCTTCCCAAAATAATAAATTTAGTTCTGGAGTTGTTGGCCTTAAATTCCTCTGGCAGTAATTAATAGAAAATCCAGTGGTCTGCTGAAAAATTCTACATTTATGTCAAGGAAGTGTTCCTCATTACAAACAACACTTGTCTTTCTGTTCTCTGTTAGACATCCAATGCACCAAAGGTGGTATTACAGCATTAAAACACACATTTTTAAAAATAGGCCATAGATTGGTTTCCCTGGAAAGCCAACTTTGAATCTTGTGTGTAGGCAATTTTCTGGGGAATGCCTCAAATAAACTCCTGTAGGGAGAACAAGGGAAGAGGCACAGGGCAGGGGGAGGAATTTAACTATGAATAGTTACAGCAAGGGTCTCAGCATATCCCATGGGGAACCCTGGAAAAAGAATGCCCCCTCGGAGTTGTCCACCCTTGAGACAAGAGGGCCAGTCCTTAATATCCTTACAACAAACTAATCATTACATGCTGGCTGCCCCAGGGAAGGAGTATGACCTCTTTGTGGCCTCTTTGGCTAACGGCAATTTCTCAAGGTAATTCTCTGAGAGCCATCAGCCACCAACAGGGAGATTGAGAGTGCCTCAGGTATGAAAGGGAGGCTAGGTAGCACATTACAGTGTCCACTACAGTAGCCATAAACATTCCTGTTACACCAATTCAGAGGTGGCGTGTTGCCTAAATAAATCATCCCTACCAAATTGAACTCTGAAGCTAATAACAGACAAGTTCTATTTAAGAATCAGTAGGCAAGGGCTTATGTGGCACCCATATTGCTTTATCCATAACAATTATTCACAAAACTACAATAAAAAAATAAATATTTTAGAGGTTTACCAACAAAGTTATTTTATTGTGTAAAGCATATAGTGATAAATTCATTAACCAATTTTGCTCTGACTAGAAACCCACTTATTCTTTATGAGGAATAATGCCTGAGAAAATCATACTTCTCTAAATAGAACTAAAACACAGAAATCCATAAAACAAAATTTAACATAGAAAAGCTTTATAGCACCTTTCCAACACTGGAGTGTTTTTAATTATGTTTCTTTTTGTCCTCTTCAATAAAATTAAATGAATACAAACAAAAAAATAACAGGTTCTAGGTTTCTCTCTATTCTGCTTTTCAATATAATACTAACAATCAACTCATTTTAATATATACACTCACAATCAGTTAAATTAAAATGTGTCTACTCAGAGTCTTCCATCATAAAACACATGTTTGTATTACAATAGTGGGATGCATAAGAAGCTTATCATATAATAGAGAAAACAGACATTTGAACAGATCATTTTAAATCATACAGTTATTCATTCAACAAACGTATCTAAGCACCAACTATATGCCTTAATATGAACAAAACAGATACCGGCCTCTTTATGGGACCTTCACTGAATGTGAGGGTCATCAGAAAAGTCATGATGCACTTTTGCACTGAAAATCAGAAAAAAACGTCATGACTTTCCTGACAACCCAATAGATGGCAGAAAATGCTATCAGCTTTACCTTCAGTAAGGAAGGAGAGCCACAGAAAGCTTAGTAATAGTAATCTTAATAATAAGAAGAAGAATAGTAACAAATCTCTATTGAATTCTTAAATTTGCCTGGTATATATGTATATTTACTTTGCTTTTCAAGTCAATCCTCAGAAATAGGTGTTTTTATTATTTATTATAATATTAATTCCCAGATGAGGATAGTAAAACACAAGGAGACTAAGTAATTTGATCAAGGTCATGCAAGTGGAAAGTGGCAGGTCTGGGATTCACAGAGAAGCTACCTTTGGAACTGAGGCTTGAAAACAGTATAAATTTATCAGACATTCCCAAAAAGAGGAGTAAATAGGGCATTCCAGACACAGGAACTGCAGGTACAAATACATAAAAATGGTCAGAAACAGGGCCAGTAGGTGGCATGGTGCTTAAAGCACTGGACTCCCACATGGTTAACTATAGTTTGAGTCCTGGACCTGGCAGTTTATTTTCTCTCTCTCTCTCTCTCTCTCTCTCTCTCTCTGTGTGTGTGTGTGTGTGTGTGTGTGTGTGTGTGTGTCTGTCTCTCTCTGTCTCTCTGTCTCTCTCTCTCTGATCAAATTAAAAAATAATAATAAAATTAAATAACTAATTCTAAAAAAATTAAAAAATCAGAAACATGCAAGTTCAGTCTGTTCAATGCTCATGCAAGAGTCACAAGAGCCCAGGCCTGAAAAGCAGGGGCAGCAAGGGACAGGCAAATTTAGAAAGGAATCATGTTCCCTACAAGGAACATAGGCAGGGGAGTGAGGTCTTGTTATTAAATAATATTAATAAGATAAAAATGGCACATATGCACTAAGAGAATCCTATAAGCTACACAACAGCTAAAGATTTACACACATCATCTTACTTTAATTTCACTACAATCTAATAAGAAAGATAATACTGTTATCTCAGTTTATGAGTCAGAATACTGAAGTTCAAAGGGAACACCTCGATGGTTCCAGGTCCTCCTAGTGGTGTGTTACAAAGCTAGGACTCCAAACCAAGGAACTGCGACTCCAAAGTCTGTGCTCATGGAGTCCTGCTCTGCAGCATATGCAACTGACACAAGACAGGAGGATGCCTCAGTCCAGGAGGCAGATGGTGCTGCCCTCAACCAAAGAAGCACTAGCTGTGGGCTGGAGGAAGCAGGAGTTGAGAAAAATGTACGCAAAGGTAGAGCTGACAACTAAGTAATATTTGGCACTGAGAAAGAAGAAAGAATAATGGATACTAGCCACTGTCAGAAAGGATGGTGATTCCATCCACCAAGAGAATGGGTGGAGATGAGCGCCGAGAGATGGGCAGGGAGATGGAGAGTGACAGAACACGCTGAAGTCCAGATTTCCCAGGCTGTAGAATATTTAGGCAGCTGGATATTTAGGACAAAAACTGAGGAAAATAATCCACTACAAAGATACATATATTTGGCCACAAAGAACATGTTGAGAGCATAAGGGTGGTTGAAATTATCTAGAGAGAATGTGAAGAATAAGAAGGTAAGAAAGTAATGGACAAAAATCTAAAAAAGCCCAACCATCCAGGAAAAAATCTATTCTCTCATCTGTAAATTGAAGATGAATCTACCTCCTTTAGAAGTTTAACTGGGAAAGGGGTTCTTCTACAAGTAAGGCAGGCTGTCATTCACGATATTTCTGTAAAACCAACTTATTCTCTACCACACGTGAGGTTTTCGATTACTGCTGGGTGACATATTCCTGCTTAAAATAAGTTAGTTGAATGGTGTGTTAATAACAAATAAAAATAGTGCAAATGGTTTATCAGCATTCTCACCACAGATTGGTTTGGCTGCTCTGAGCCCACGTTGCTGATGTCAGTAATTCCACTTTGGGCATCAACACTGCTAGCTTTGGATGGACGCGTTGTACGATTACAGCGCTCCCAGCACAGCCACTTTCCAGGCTTATTTTTGTTCTGTTTTCACTCTTCTCCGGTCAGCCTCAAAAAATTATTACAGTGCAGCTTTCCTGCCTTATCATGAATCTGTACAACAGGCCATTTCTCCCATTTCTCTCTCTTTAAAGCAAAGGAAAACTTCCCGATGTTAACATGTAACAAAAAGAAAAAAAAAAAGGAAAAAGAAAGAAAGCCGTTTGGTCCGCCCTCCCTGGCTGTTGCTACCTTGCAGTTTATGACACACAGATAGAGGGAGGTCTGCTGAAGTGAACCAGCAGCCTGAGAGCTCTTCTATTCCCGTGGAAACTAGGAGTCCCTTGGTGCAGGCAGCTCTCCCTACTTTCCAGTGCGGCTCCTTTCGTGTGACTTTGCGAGGGGCTGGTGAATGATTCCTGAATGTGTGTCTCGCTGAAGCCAGCGGCACAGGGAGGGAGGACCCAAGCAGAGTGGTGGCAGAGGAAGCCAACACAGACCTCGCAGAGCTGGAACGGGCTCGACTCTTGTATGCAGTTTTTGAAGTCAGCAAAACAGAAATCAAATTACTATATTATGCTGGTGGAAGCTCAAAGAGAGGAGACTGTGTGCCGGCTTAATTACTATGAGAGATGCAGCGAGTCACAGAATAGCAAAGTGTGTCTCATGTGTGGACCCTGAAGACAAATGTAAGTTCTCACGCTGCTATATGTTATTGCTGTGTAATTTTCATTCTGGTTTGAAAGCATGCTTGGCCAAAGCATAATCGTCTCAATGAGAATTGTAGTGTGGAAAGTTGTCTGCTAATCTTTACTTAAGACCTTTTCTTTTTTCCTTTTATTAACTAAGCAACATAATAGGAGCTGAAATTCCTGATGACAGCTGTTAATTCAGCTTCAGACTCATCGAGAATCCTAACCCTAACTACATCCAATTACTATGGGATTAACACTGGACGTATTTTTTAATTGACTTTCTTAATACCTACATCTCCATTGTTTTGGATTGCATGCTATTTTCATATTGATGTGGCTAAACTAGTGTGATCAGCATAACCAACAAAAGGAGATACATCTAAACAAGAATTCCTGGTAGTTACAAACTTTTCTTCTTTGGCCAGGATCACATTTGTCTCCCTGAATGCTCAAAACTCCACAACCTCTGTACTAAAAGTTCGTTCTGCTTTGTGGCTCTTGCTCTGGTGGAAAAAAGAAAAAAGAAAGAAAGAAAGCCAGACAGTGGACTCTACTAAAATGGCAAAGGGAGGAAATATAAAGAGCCACCACAGTTCTTCAACTATTATCATAATAATGGGAGACAAAAAGCCAGCTAAGAGAGCCCAGCATGTACACCCAAGGAGGGATGGTGAGCAGAGGCTATAAATTGTTAGTCTTTCTATACTTCATCTGCTACAAATTCCAGTTTAGAAATGGATATTCTCTGTGAAGAAAACAATTCTCTGAGCTCCATTCCGAACTCCCTAATGCAATTAAGTGATGACACAAGACTCTACAACAATGACTTTAACTCCAGAGAAGCCAACACTTCTGATGTGTTTAACTGGACCGTGGACTCTGATAATCGAACCAACCTTTCCTGTGAAGGGTGCCTCTCACCACCATGTGTCTCCCTACTTCATCTCCAGGAAAAAAACTGGTCTGCTTTATTGACAGCTGTAGTGATTATTCTAACCATTGCCGGAAACATACTCGTCATCATGGCAGTGTCCCTAGAGAAAAAGCTGCAGAATGCCACCAACTATTTCCTGATGTCACTTGCCATAGCTGATATGCTGCTGGGTTTCCTTGTCATGCCCGTGTCCATGTTAACCATCCTGTACGGTGAGTGGCATTGGTTTCCAGCTGTCCTCACACTGCTATTAAAGAGCATGTGCGTGTCCTTAGCAGATGGGGTGGGGGCTCAGGACCAATTGTAAAAAGAAGGCTTTGACTATACGCTAGTGTCCACCATGTTAATGCTAGGTACTTAAATTTTACTTTTTAAACAGGGTTTCACATTATCACCTACTCTCTGTGATCACTGGAGAATTTTGTGTTTTAAAACATTTATATTTTATAATTATTAAGTTATGTGCTTTAAAACATATGCATGTTATGTAGAAAGTCTAAATACCTTAATACAGTCATAAAGCAATAACTTACCCATCATTCCGAATCCACTTGATTTTCACTCCTTTGTAGTCTTAACCAAATATTCCAGCCATCCGGATAGAACAGTTTTATCTTGGCCACACAGTTTCAACACTTCAAATGGAGTGGTAAAACCTTCCCAATTACCTCGGAACATTTTTCAGGGAGAACATTAGCAGTGCAGTGGGTTTAATGTTAAAATATGCAGAGTCTCCATTAGAATAAATGAATTACTCCCGTTTTAATTGTTCTCTGCCCTGAGAAGCTAATTTGGAAATGTGCCTTTGAATTCTACCCTCAACTCTTTAAAAATGCATATGCAGAAACTCCACCAGTCTGGTTTGGAGGAGGGTGGAAAACAAATAGAAGATTAATGTTGCTTTCTTCTCAACAGAGTGTGAAATAGTCAAATCTCTCAGCAAGTCAGCAAACACTGGGACTGCTTCAGCGGGAAGCAGAATGTGATATTCTTTCCAAATTATGAGTAACACAGACTGATTTCTCCTTCAAGAGAGAGAGAGAAAGAGAGAACTAAGACTGCTGACATAAGCACATCAGCGGTCGACTCAGGGCTTAGACACAGGTTCTCAGAACGGTCTTTGAGAGAGGATTCTCTGGCCAAGTCTTAAAGGCAAAATAAGTATCAACCCGTCCCTGAGGAGTGTGAAGGATGATGGAGGTGAGCGAGGAAGAGAGCAGGCGCCACTTCTCACAGGCTTGAAAATGCTCAATCCAAGTCCAGCCCCCGCTTAACCGTTCAAATGTCACACCGGAATGATTTCATTAAAGTCGCCTGTCATTTCCCAGACATTCGGGAGAGGTGCCTGCTCCCTGAAACTCCACTTCCCCCGGAGGCAAATTCCAGTGGAGGTGGAAGGGGTGACTGAGCAAGACTCTCCGGGAACTGAAACCGCAGCAGGAGGACTGGGGTGACCCTGCCTAGCGGGTCGGGGGCAGGCACCGACCGGTTGAGGAAACTGAGACCAGCGGGAACCACGCTCTCGGGGTGCACGAGCGCGCCCTAGCGGCAGCCCCTCTACGCGCAGCCTGCTCCCTCCAGAATCCGCCCCTCCCTGCGCTGGTCCTCTGGCCTCCTCCAGCTGCCGGGCTCCTAGCCACTGCCCAAGAGGAAAAGGCTCCCTCCCAATACATGCAGCCGGAAGCGGAGTAAGACCCACCGCCGCTCTGTTGCAGAGGGAACCCTAACAAAGGCCAGCGCTAGTCTGGAACAGGCGAGCGTAGCTTCCCCCTCAGGCGCTGCTAAAGAAGAGGCTCTTGGTTTTGCTCAATCTCTTTGCAAATTTTCTGAGTGAAAGACTCTAAAGTAGGCTCATATCCTGTATCCTTTACTTTTCTAAATATCCCTGTGGCATTTTGGTAGAGTACATTTACATATGGAGGGTTTGTTCAGCTTTGTGGATCTGTAATACCCTGAAAGAATAGTCTTTAATTTTCCTTTTTAAGTCCAGGCAGAGTAATATCATTGTACCATTTCCAAAACTGATCAAGTCTTATAAAACTATTTGATCCCCTTCCAAAACACACAAAAACAGGATATTTTGCTTTTGTCCATAAGGCACTTTCTATCTTCTTAATGTATCAAGTGACCTGCAGTGCTTATTTTGAAGTCATCTGGAAAGCTTTCAAACATTTTGATGTTTGGGGCTGAGCCCCACCCACCCTCCAGAGATAATGATTTAATTGGGTGGACGTTGATCTGGGCATCAGAACCAAAGGTCTCCAGCTGATTCTAATGGGAGGAAGGGGTTGAGAACTGCCCTAAAGAGCTCTTCTCAAAGTATGATCCACCACCTGAGAACTTGCTAGAAATGCAGATTATCCTGCCTACTCCCAGCTAAATGGATCTGAACCTAGGAGGTAAATCCAGCAGTCTATGCTTAAGAAGCTAACAGTCTGGGAACCAGCAGTTAGCGTAATGGCTATGTCGCTGGACTCCCACGTAGTCGACTGCGGTTCGTGTCCCGGACCCGGTGGCTTAAAACTCACGCCGGGCATGTGTGCGTGCGTGCCCAAGATCCCTAGAGGAGAATGGAGGAGAAGGGATTGCGGCGTGACCATCCCCCCTAGGGGGTGATTTCTCGCTTTCTGTCTCTATGTCTCTCTCTGTCTGTCTGGCGAGCGCACGTGCCCTACAGTGAAAAATCTCTCAAAAAAAAAAAAAAAAAAAAAAAGAAGCTAACAGTCTGACGCTAGGTAAAGCTGGAGAATGACCACTATGAAATGAAGCTCAGAGTGAAGACACCAATGCTTTTCTCCACCATAGTCTTCAACATTTTCCACACACCCCAAATTTGAGTTTAACTCAAAGCATTACTAGGTTAAAAAAATTACTTGGGGTGCTGGCTTCCTGGCTCTAGTTCCCATGTGGCCGAATCTTCTGCCTGCTCAGTCTGAAACAATGAAGGCAGTCAGGCAAGTGCCCAAGATGGACACTGGTCTGGAGGACAGGAGAAAGGAAATCGCTGGGTGACCAGACCTTGTGGAGGGTGTTTCTCCCACACTCACTGTCACATGTGCATGCATGAATGTACTCTATCATGAAAAACAGAATTTACTTACTTTATTATTTTAAGAATAAAGATATATTACCAATCTGGAGTTTTTAAAAATAATTATCTTATTTAACTTTATTTATTTATTTTAATTTGATCAGAAAAAAAACAGAATGAGAGAGAGAAAGAGAGAAAAGTGAGAAACAAGCTGCCAGGTCCGGGACTCAAACTGCAGTGGGCCATATGGGAGTCCAGAGCCCTGAACTACTACACCACCTGCCGGTCCCCCAATCTGGATTTTTAATCATTAAGCCACTCGCACCAATACCATTTGTTGCCATCACTATATAAACTGGGTGGTTATAAAAATGACGAAGAGACAGGCCTATCCTCAGGGACCTACAATTTCGAGAATCTGTGAATAAATAATGACAGAGGAATCATCCAAAATCACAACCTTTAACATAAATCATTTTTTTTAAAAAGAGAATTTTATAGGTGGGGTGGATGAAAGACTCTCTAAAGAAGGACAATTTGGGGACACCTTTGTGGCCTGGAAGTTTAAGCAGCCAGATTCCACAAGGCAGACTGCATGTAGCCCCAGATACAGTGGCTTGAGAAATATGCTGGGCCCATGTGTGTATCTGCCCAAAATTCCAAAAGGAAATAAAGATGGAGACAGTATTGCAGTGTGACTGTTTTCCATGGGAGTTGTTTTCTCTTCTCCCTTTCTCTCTGTCTCTCTCTAGTGAGTGCATGTCCCCTCTGACAAAAATAAAATGAAACATAAAATTTAAAAAAAAGGACAACCTGAGTTCACCACGTCACAATTATGTGATTCCAAACACTTAAGAGTTTTCAAGCCTTGTGTTCATCAGTCAGTATAATATTTTTATTTTTATTTTTTTTTAATTTGCTAGAGGGCATGTATGTTTACTGAAGTGAGACAGAGAGAGAGGGAAAGTGAGAAAGCACCCCTGGGGAGTGGGAGGAGGATTGCTATGCTGGCTGCAATGCCTTCTTCTCTATTTTCCTCTTGGGGTTTTGGGGCACACATGCATTCAGTTTGTTTTTCAAGCAGCTGGTTCTGAGACTTGAACCACACCATAGCCCATATGGATCCAGTGACCTTAACCACTATACCACCAGCTGGCCCAGCCAGTGCAATCGTATTGTAGTTAAACACAGTTATTATTAGTCTTTTTATTTTTTAATGCCAGGGAGCAGATGAGAGAGAGAAAGCATCCCCTCAGTGGGATCTGGTCACAGTGCAATTCTTTCCCCTTAATTCTCCATCCCATTACGATCTTGGACATGAGCACATGCACATCTGATATGACGACAAAAAAGGCCAGGACTTGTACCCTGGTGGGCTGTAGGGAATCGGGATTCCTCTCCACAGCACATAACTGGCCCCTATTAGGCTTTTGTTAAATACTGGAAACACCTTTGCCACCACCTATGCCCATCTCTGAAATAAAAAACATTGTCACAAAGCCCAGGAGACCCGGGCTGCTTACTAATGCTGACCTGTGCACCACAGGGTACCGGTGGCCTCTGCCTAGCAAGCTCTGTGCAGTCTGGATTTATCTGGATGTGCTAAGAATGAATGGTTTGCAAAATGCTAGTGTTCTAGAGTCATAGAGCCTGACTGCCTCAGAGGCCATCTACCAGAGGAGGAACCCCTTCCTCTTAGATAAGTTACCCAGCTTCCAATGTCCCAGTGCCAGTGCTGGTGAGAAAATCTCAGTGGTTTCCAGACTTGTTTGCGTATTGGAATCATCCAAAAGATTCAACAAATAATGATGCCTGAGTCTCACCTGCAGAGATTGTGATTTAATTCTTTTGGCGTGCGGTCTGGGCTTTGGGATTTCTAAGAGACTCCAAGTGAGTGTGATGCGCAGCCAGCACTGGGGACTGTTGGTAAGTCATATGGAAAAGCACAACAACCCCATTTAACATCAGAGAATCCGTCAGAAAACCTCGCTAATGTTGTAAAGGTTCTATAAGCATTTAGATGTCATTTAAGAAGATTTACAGCTCCATGTATATACACACAAACCAGTGTTGGGGAATAGATAGGAAATGTTGCCATTTATGTTCAAGAACCACGTAATAAAGAGGTATCATGCTGGCAGTCTGTAATGATGGTATTGTGGAAAGTACAGACTGAGTATTGGAACTCTGTCACTCTGAGGTTTTTCTTGTAGAGTCTATAGAAAAAAGTCTAGAGGGGCAGCAAGTAGCATGATGGTTAAGATGCTAGGTTCCCACACGGTCGACCACGGTTTGAGTCTCAGAGCTGGTAGCTTGAGAAATATGCTGGGCCCATGTGTGTATCTGCCCAAAATTCCAAAAGGAAATAAAGATGGAGACAGTATTGCAGTGTGACTGTTTTCCATGGGAGTTGTTTTCTCTTCTCCCTTTCTCTCTGTCTCTCTCTAGTGAGTGCATGTCCCCTCTGACAAAAATAAAATGAAACATAAAATTTAAAAAAAAGGACAACCTGAGTTCACCACGTCACAATTATGTGATTCCAAACACTTAAGAGTTTTCAAGCCTTGTGTTCATCAGTCAGTATAATATTTTTATTTTTATTTTTTTTTAATTTGCTAGAGGGCATGTATGTTTACTGAAGTGAGACAGAGAGAGAGGGAAAGTGAGAAAGCACCCCTGGGGAGTGGGAGGAGGATTGCTATGCTGGCTGCAATGCCTTCTTCTCTATTTTCCTCTTGGGGTTTTGGGGCACACATGCATTCAGTTTGTTTTTCAAGCAGCTGGTTCTGAGACTTGAACCACACCATAGCCCATATGGATCCAGTGACCTTAACCACTATACCACCAGCTGGCCCAGCCAGTGCAATCGTATTGTAGTTAAACACAGTTATTATTAGTCTTTTTATTTTTTAATGCCAGGGAGCAGATGAGAGAGAGAAAGCATCCCCTCAGTGGGATCTGGTCACAGTGCAATTCTTTCCCCTTAATTCTCCATCCCATTACGATCTTGGACATGAGCACATGCACATCTGATATGACGACAAAAAAGGCCAGGACTTGTACCCTGGTGGGCTGTAGGGAATCGGGATTCCTCTCCACAGCACATAACTGGCCCCTATTAGGCTTTTGTTAAATACTGGAAACACCTTTGCCACCACCTATGCCCATCTCTGAAATAAAAAACATTGTCACAAAGCCCAGGAGACCCGGGCTGCTTACTAATGCTGACCTGTGCACCACAGGGTACCGGTGGCCTCTGCCTAGCAAGCTCTGTGCAGTCTGGATTTATCTGGATGTGCTCTTCTCCACGGCCTCCATCATGCACCTCTGCGCCATCTCTCTGGACCGCTACGTCGCCATCCAGAATCCCATCCACCACAGTCGTTTCAACTCCAGAACCAAGGCATTTCTGAAAATAATTGCTGTTTGGACTATATCAGTAGGTAAGCGGGAACATATTTCAGCATTTCATTGGAAATGACAGTTCATGTTTTCCAAGGAGACTTGCTCTGTTTTGTCACACTGAAACCTGACATCTAGAGTCTATATTGTTTTGTGTGCTACAAGTTATGTTACAATAGTAATTATCAGATTGCTTTAGAAAAGAGAAACCTGTTTATGTCACTAGCTGACAACATAAATTTGTATTGCTCTGTACAGGCAAGAACAGAAACACTACTAGAGGCAACATCAAGACTAGCTGTGCTGTTTTCTCCATCTCTCACTTTCAAGTTCACTACTCTAAATCTTGGGTGTCTTAGAGAACTCAGCTTTTATTTTGTTTTTGTTTTGCTATAGGGCATGTGTGCTCTTCAGAATGACATAGAGACAGAAAGCAAGAAATCACCCCCCAGGGGAGATGACTGTGTGGCAATCCCTTCTCCATTCTCCTCTCAGGATCTTGGGCATGCATGCACATGCGCCCAGCATGCGTTTAAGCTACCGGGTCCAAGATTCAAACCACAGTTGACTACGTGGGAGTCAGCGACATAACCATTACACCAACTGTTGGTCCTGACCTCAGCTTTTATAATCACTGGCCTTGTGGTCAGCATAAAGACGCAGATGCTAATACTAGAGAATGTGAGGGATCTAAAGATGCCAGGTACTGCAACTCAGAGGACAAAGGTGAGGACAGAACAGAGTGGCAGAACTTGCTTAGTGACAAGATGTTGCTGCCTCCCCAGTGCCTCTGTAGCCTTCCTCCTGTTATGACACCACATACCAAAGGATTTCAACCCGCTCCAGTTGGATTTATTACACATATTTACCTCTTACCACTATTGATCTTCTGTCACACACTAAGAGTCAGGAAAGCCCAGCTAGTGGAAGCTAAAGGGGCAGCTCCCAGTCTGCAAAGTCAGTTGTATCTGTCACCTCAGCAAAAATGGTTTGTAACCAGAAGCTTTCCAGAGATTTGTCTCACTCTCAAAGTTTTTGGGCAGAAATGCAGCACCCACTTAAGACAAGGCGGGTGTCAGTATTTGATGGCAGGTTGACATGAGAATTCCTATCAGTTTTCCCACAGCTTTATGGTAATAACACCAATTATAATAGTGAACACAATAACAGAACAACTTGTGTTTTTTAATTCCCATCATTTCCTTTGAAACTGACGGTAGAAACTAACATGCAATCAGAAGAGTAGATCACTCCATTTTATAGATGAGAAAATTGGGTTTTAAAAAATGAAATAAGGGGACCAGCAGTTGGTGTAATGGCTATGTCACTGGACTCCCATGTAGTCAACCACAGTTTGAGTCCCAGCCCCAGAGGCTTAAACTCATGCTGGGCACGTGTGCGTACATGCCCAGGATCCTGAGAGGGAATGGAGAAGGGATTGCGGAGTGGTCATCCCCCCTGAGGGGCGATTTCTTGCTTTTTATCTTCTGTCTCTCTCTGTCTTTCTGGCGAGTGTGCGTGCCTTGTAGCAAAAACCTCTCAAAAAAAAAAAAAGAAAGAAATGAAATAGGTTGGGGCCAGCAGATGGGATGGTGGTTAAGGCTCTGGAATCCCACATGGCTGACCACAGTTCAAGTCCTGGACCCAGTGGCTTGAGAATCATGCTGGGTTTGTGTGTGTGCATGCACAAAATCATACGAGGAGAATGGAGAAGGGATTTTGGCGCAGCCAACCCCTTTAGGGGGTGATTTCTTACTATCCCTCTCACTGTCTCTCCAAAGAGTACATGCACTCTATGACAAAAAAAAAAAAAAAAAAAAACACACTAAAAAGAAAGTAAGAAAAGAAGAAAAAAAATTGAAATGGGGCTGGCTCCTTGACTTGGAGTTTCAAGCACCTGGGTCCCACCTTGTAGTTCAAGCCCTGGACTTAGCGGCTTGTGAAACATACTAGGAACATGTGCATGTATGCCCAAAATCTTGAATGAAGGGGGAAATATCCTATTGTGCTTGTTTGATAAGTGAGGGAACAGGAGTACAGAGGTTTTGTGGCTTTGGGGGTCTATCTCCAGATAGCAGCAGGGCTAGGTTTCTCAACTCTTGGTACCAGACCCTGCTCTTTCTGTGGAATGTATCATTTTTCATAAGAAATAAAAGGTTTTCTTCAAACTACATGCTTGTGATGTGTGGGTCCGTGTAATCTTGGACTCATTCTACTGGGAACAAGAGAGTAAAGGGCCAGTGACCATTTCATCCCAGTTGCACAGCAGCTGGAAATCATTCTAATTTAATTTGTGCAAGAAGGGCAAGGTGATTACAAGGAGCAACCAGGTTAAGGACACTGAGACAGATTATCAGAGAGGCAGACATGATGACTAAGAGAGGGTCAAAAATAATGCAAGTACAGTGCCAGGTAGTGGTGCAGTGGGAACGAAACTGGACTCATGGGAAACGCCTCGGACTTGTGTTCCTTCCTCCCTAAGTACCCCCCTATCTGTGATCCAGGCTGTCTCTGACTAGGGGATGGGTCTGAGACTGGGAGTGAATTGTGGAATGAAGATCCCGTTGGGTGAGAGAGTTCTGTCTGTCTGTATCTCTCAATATCTATCTCTGTCTTTCATTGGAGAAATTAATAAACCTTAAAATGAAACAGCAACACGACTGGCAAATTTACTTTAGTTTACCCCCCATAGACTGTCTGATTGGTAAGCTAGAAACTGGGAAGGTCACCCATTTTTACCATTAGACAAACCAATCCCCCTATCTAAATCGAGCTTCATAATAGCACTAGTAGTTAGGGCTAGCAGTTCCGAGCGCCAACTTCAGACAAAAAAAAAAAAAAAAAAAAAAAAAAAACCTCATAGAATATCAGCTGCAGAGAAGGGAGTTACACAGAGAGGCATTGCTCATAACCAGGAGTCAATCCAGGTCAATCTGATTCCAAAGTCTATGTTCGGTCTACTGCTCAGTAGCTCAGCCTCTGGCTCTTTCTGCTATCACTTCAGGGGAAAGATTGGTTGAAATGCTTGTGGGGGCTCTGGCCAAAGGTCATCATTCATCCATTTGGCCACAAAAATGTATTGCACATCTGCTGCATGCTTGGCACTGACTATACGACTGGGTTATCGGAAAAGGCATGATGTATTTTTCTATACAAAAATGTGTCATGACTTTCTGATGATCCAATAAGATTACTAAGATAAGCAAAGATCTCTCACAGTGTGGTATGAGAAAGTAGATAACAGAAGATATGAGAAACAAAGAAGTCACATAGGTTCTATAGCAGAAGTATGGCCAAGACCGGGGCAGGTGGTGCGTGTGAAAATGAGAAAGTCAGTTCTAATAAAGGATTCATGGAGCTTAACAGTCTTTCCTGAATTTTCTCCTGGGTCTCCTCTTTCTACTGTTACTTCTTTGTTGTTCTGGGTTTAGTTTTTCTTTGTTTTTCTAATTCAGATCCTTAGTCTATTCTAAAGTATTTTTATTATCTAGCATTTTTTATTCAACCGGTGATTAAAACCTCTTCAGCATCTATTGATATAATTAGTTGTCCCCCTTCAGATTATTGACATGTTTCTTTTCCTTTTAGATTTCTAAATATTAAATTGCCCTTGTGCTCCTGGAATATGTTCATAAATAATATTAGATTTAAATAACTTCGTTGGTTAATTATTTTGAACAGTTTTCCATTTCTATCTTCATTAATTATTTTGAGAGGTTTCTTTTTTTTTTCCCCCCCTAAGGCCTTTTATATATTTAAGCAGGAGTTATATGTTCTTGAAAGGTTATGTAGATTAGTTCTAAATCTCTCATCCTGGTGCTTTTTAAAATTACATCACCAACCTCTTTAGTAATTATTATTCCACTTTTATTTTCTACCTCTTCTTGAATTATTTTCTGCATTAAATGTTATCTTTGGTATTGATTCTTTTATCACCATTAAATGTGTCACATTATATCTAGTGATGTTGCTTGCCTTAACATCTACTTCATCTGGTTTCCATATAACTATTCCAATTTTGTTTTGATTATTATTTTCTGGCTATATCTTATTCCATCCTATTACATTCAACTTTTAGGTGATTTTATATTTAATGTGTATTGCCTAATAAGCAGCATATAGTTTTGTTTTGTTTTGTTTCATTGCCTTTTAAATTGAATATTTGGTTCTTTTACATTTGCTATAACTCAGATATAACTGGATTTACATTTGTTCTCTTATGATTTCTTTCTATTATCTCATTTGTTCTGCATTTGTTTCTCTCCATTCTTTCATTCTTTTGTACTAATCAAGATTATTGTTAGGGACCAGCAGGTGGTTTGTTGGTTAAGGTGCTGGACTCCCACATGATAGACTGTTCAAGTCCCAGACCTGGTGGCTTGAAACTTATGCTGAGCACATGTGAGTGCATGCATGCCCAGAACCTCTAGAGAAGAATGGTTGAGTGGTGATTGCAAGGTGGACTCCCCCCTGGGGGCGGATTTCTCACTTTTCCTCTTTCTGTTCCTGTCTCTCTCTCTCTGGTGAGCACAAATGCCTTATGGCAAAAACCTGAAACAAAATAAAGAATTATTGTTAATTCATCACCCCTCCTTGATAAGCTTGTTAGCTATCTATTCTTTTAAATTCTTTTAGTGATCACATTCCTTTTTGACCTCACAGAGTCTAAAATAATTACCTTAAACACTTAGATATTACAAAAAGTTAAGAACATTTCAATTCTGTATACCTCTGTTGTCTTTTGCATTATTTTTACTGTTTTCTGTGAATCTTTTAAGAAATGCATAAAACATCATTAGAGCTGTTCTGTTCATTGTTTTCCACATAATGGCCCTTCCTATTGTTGTTTATTGCTTTGTTCATTTCTATGATATTTCCTGAGTTCATATTCCTTACTTCTTTACCATATAGTTTTCTCTTAGTTTGTTATTCTTGCATCTTTATTTTACAATTGTTTTTTCTCAGTGTACAATTCTAGATGGCAATCATCTTTGTTCACTCCCTTATAGATGCTATTTCTAAGTTTCTGGCTTATATTGTT